GACACGGTTGATGATATAAATCCTGCATTACCTTATAAGGACCCTAAACTGTGGGAATTATGGCATATTCCTTACTATGGGTAATGCAGGATTTATATCATCAACAGCATCATCCGGATGAAGTGGGAGTTGATGGTTTAGGGTTACAATCAGCCCAAGAAGATGGTGCAAGTTGGGTATTTGGGGCGAGGAGCTGCTAATTGATACTCCGGCCTTGAAGTTTTTTTGGGGGGCGGCTAAGACAAGCCTGAGTAACCCTCAACCCTGAGCCTGAAGACAACTGCAACCATAGATGCTACGAAGTGCATCTGAGGCTCTTCCAGCGTGTGTCATTACCAATCTTGTGCGACACAAATCCTGAGGGTTTGGGACTTCGGTTGTAGAGTTGAGGCTTGAACTGAGTCGATCTTTGATTTAGGATTAAAGGGGTTGACACATCTACGAGTGGGCCGGGTTGTCGCAGAAAGAAAGCAGGCAGTGTGTAGAGTTTGGGGGAGCTTCCTTTTCAATTTGCAACCTTACTTGAAGTCTGTACTGAGCATGCCCACAATGCGAGCTTTCGCAGTTTTTCAGACCTCTGCCTTGCAATTGCCATAAACCCTTTTTGCAGCAGGCCTCGTTGTCCAGCACCCTAAACCCTAAACCCTAAACCCTAAGGCTATGTTTCCCAACAGGCCCTAAACCCTAAACCCAGCAGCCTGGGCTTCTCTGTATCTGTACAAAGAGACTCGGGAAGGTGACAGAGGAGAGCTACGGTTGATGATAGACATCCTGCATTACCTTAAGGACCCTAAACCATGGGACTCATGGTAAATCCCTTATTATGGGTGTATATATATATATCATCAAGAGTATGAGCCTTCAGGTACTTCCCCAATCCCCACCAAGGATCGCTTGTGCTCCGAGAAGTTGTTCAGCCAAGTGCCAACTTTATGACATTCCTGGCATCGGCATTCGGAGTCTAATCTTTAGTTGTACTAGGCGAGGGAAAACTTTTTAAGCTTCCGCCATCCTGATAACAATAAAACAGTATTGAATCACACTAAGCACCTAACAGTTCCAACTGAAGAGGTATTTACACTGGTTCGTGATTCAAAAGCCAGCAGCCCCATGCTACCGTGGCCTTAAGAGGATTCTTTAGGATCTCCCTAAAGTTGTTTTCCACTTTTCTGCGGTTAGGGGATTCTGGATTCGTGCTTGCCGGTTTACGGTTCAGCAGGTCTCCTTGCTGTGGCTCCAAATGGAGTCTGCAAGCACTCCAGTATGGCTACAACCTAAACCCTGCCGTCAAACCGTAAAACCGCTGCAAACTCAACAGAAGACAGCCGGCACCCAAAACCTGGTTGCAGCGCTCATGACACTGGTAGCCAGCTTTAAGATTCAGAGCACTTTGAGGCAGACACCTGATGAAACAAGCAGAACAGCAAAACATTTAAAGCTTGCCTAGGCGGGTCTTGGGCTTCTGCAGGGAAAGGCCAGCACTTTGTGAACCAAGGCCTGAAGCCGTTTGCCTTAACCCTTGGCCCAAAGTTCATGGAATCAGTGGACGGCATCGACCCCCTGAACCCCAGAAGGCCTGAAACCCTTCTCCGTAAACTCGAAACCTCTCTTCACAAGCAGGGGTCTGCACCGGCCACGACACCTGTCGCCGCGAAACCCTAAACCCCCCAAATTAGCAAGAATCCGCAGCAATCTACGATGCTCTAGATTCTAGATACCATTAGCACATGTCGTTAAACCCTAACCCCTGGAAAGTTCATCGAGTTTCTAGCTTAACCCAACAAGTAAGACATGTACAGTTTTCTTCTAACTGTTTTTACAGCGGGGCTCTGAGAGTCGACAGGGAGAGAAACTGTGATCTGCCTTGCCGTTTGTCACGAGAAGTTTGAACGGTGTTTGAAGGAATGGTACCCTGTAGAACTAGCCTTTAGAATCCTAGTACCTTGTGGGAGTCATGTACTTCCCATTCTGACCAAGCCGTGACTACGCTATCTGGTCTCATGTGGTCTCACACCCTACCCATAGGCTCCATAGTAGTTCCTTTTTGGGACTACCTGATAGGATTCTAAATATGAAGCCCAAAAAGGAACTACTTTGGAGCCTCTGTGTAAATCAGCCGAGATTCCGGTGTCTTGTAGTTGAGCATCGCCTGCACACGCCAACTCTTCCGAACTCCCGGATCTCTTGGGGTCCGCGAAGCTCATACCGTTTTACGTTTTACGGGCTTTAAGTGTGGACAATGTGGATAGTTATCAAAATTAAGGTCCGGTTTTGGGTAACCCCTAAATAATAGGTGCCGTATTACACTAGGGACCCGAATCGGCACCATAATTTTGACAACCACTCATATGGCTTTCAAAGTGATTTGGAGTTGAGTGTGAGGGTCTGAAGTTTGGCATTGTTCTATCTCTACTTGGAGGATATAAGTATGGTTATAAGTACCCTAAGTGGGGTTATAAGTACGTAGTTATAAGTACAATTACCTTGATTATAACTCTAGTTACTAAGTCCCATGATCCTCTAAGTATTCAAGGCTCTCCCTAACCGGGTTGCCTCGCACAGCGTGCTACGAAGAATTCTGCGTGCTGACTCAGCTAAACCCAAAAAATCGAGCTGGAATGCACAACTTTTGGATCGAGGCCCCAGACCACAAAACCTCAGAGCACTTATCAAAACACTGTCTGCTGCCTCGTTTTGCATACCTGCGTGATGCCTCATCCTTATCTTGGACCTCGAGGTGGAATGCACAAATCTTAGTAGCATGCACGTCGGAGCAGAACGAATTTCTGTCGGACCCATAGGCAGGGACTCTTGCATTCGGACGGTCGCAGAGGCTTCTGTCATCAACGATGCAGGTGGAAGCTCTGGCTCCATCATATTACACCTGGACTACACACTGCCTAAGTCCTAACCCTTAAAACCCTGAGCCACAGTGACTTTCCCAGTCATAGGCAGTCTTGCGGCCTGGAGAGGAGTCGGGGGGTGCGTGAACGGCAAAATCAATCCTGGAAGAAAGATCCATTCTAACCTGAAATCTGAAACCCTCCAGATGCACAGACAGACACAAACAAGGCTACGAGCAAACATAGGACTGGTGCAACAAGTCGGGCCAAGAAAAAGATCAAAACCCTACCAGATCCAACTCCAAAATTCTGCAACAACCCGAACTCATATAGGTGCCTTAATAATTAGAATAGGGTTTTGGGGCCCGTCATACTATATCTATATAATCAGGAACCCCCTATGTTATCACCCAAACTGGGGACCCGAATATAGCGCCCTCACTCTTAGGATCCTCATATTATAAGGACCCCTAACTTTCGGAAACCTTCAGCCAATCTCTGAGATCCGGCCTCGGCTCGGCGGCAACGGCCGCACAGACGACCCGAGGACGAGCCCCCCAAAAAAGCTCTGCGGGAGCATGAACAAAGATTTTACAAGAGTTCTGGCAGGGTTCTGTAGAACCCAAACCCTTTAAGAGGCTCTTTCATGTCTATGATGAGGGTTTTGCCGGGATTCACAGAGCTGGGATGCAGGCTCTGGAAATTGGGGCTTTGCAAGCACAGTAGTTCCTAGTATTGACTTCATGAAAGGATCAGGCCGCAAGGAAAGTAAGGCAATTGCAATGGAAACTACAACAACTCCGCGAGACCGTGGGCTCGACAGTGTCGGATTAGGGGTGGGTTCCGAGAAGCACAGCACTTCGGAGCGGCTCAAATGAGGGTTCCGTTTCCTTGCTCACTCTGGGCATGCCGACAATAAAACATACTTGGAAGCGCGAAAGACATGGAACCCTGATGTAGAATCTAAGCCCCACACCAGAATGATTTTTGTAAGGACAGCTAAAAAGAGAACTATAAGTGCATCAGCCCGAGGGTCTGAACATCTACAAACAGGACTTGAAAGTTTAGGGCGTAGTCGTAAACCCCTAAATCTTGCCCTATGTCGAGGCTTGGAGCTACACCAAGCTTCGGGGTTGAAACCTGAAAACCCACCAAAGCCCTTAACAACCTACCCTTGCGGGGCTTCTTACTACAAAGGAAGTCCTCAAAAACGTGGGATATTCAGGGTCCAAGTACTCCTGCAGTAGACCCCCTACACTCGAAACCGGACCCTGGATCCGAAAGACTGAGACCCCAAAATTAAATTTAGAGGAAAGTGCTCCAGGCTCTGCGCTCTCAGTGGGGCTCAGAAGGCTCATGAAAGCATAAGCAGGCTACAAGCAAACTTTGGGGCTTAGGGTTTGTGAAGTTTAGGGTCTGAAGGGGCTATGTTTGGGGCTTAAGGCCTGTAGGGTTTAGGGTTTTTTCCCTCCTACCTAGCAAGGGTTTTCAGTGTCAGGGGTTTAGGGTTTAGGGCCTTTAGGGTTAAGGGTAGGACCTTGAGCAGCTTTGCTCGAAACCCAAACCTTTTGACTCTGGGCTATGCGTACTTGGAGGATCCCTAAAGGGGTCCTTAAAGGGATCTACAGGGGTTCCTTAAAGGGATCTATAAGGTTTAGGGTTTAGGGTCTACTTCAAGGATCATGGGACCTAGTAACTAGGTTCCAATTAAGGTAACTGTATTTGTAAAACTACTAAGAGCCCCACTTAAGGTACTTATAACCTTAAACTTACTAGGTCCCATGACCCTCCAAGTACGGCAGGACCCGGAGGCGACCCCAGGTTTCGCAAACTCATCGACTAGTCATCCAAGGCTCTACTATTTGCTTAAGAACCACCAAAAAATAAAAGATATATTCCTTATGGGGGTAATATAGGGATTTTTTTTATTTTTTGGGGGTTTCTTAAGCAAATAGTAGGGCTTCAGGATGCAATGACCACATGGCGAGAACTCCAAGATCCTGAACGCTTCGGGAAGTAATGTTGAGAACGTAAACCGTTTTGTTCGACAGGCTTCGTAGGAAACTTAGACCCTAAACACTAAACTGAGGAAGACTAATTACTAATATGTCCGTGCCCCCCCATAAAGTATGAAGCTTTCGAGCTCGAGCTCCGGACGGCCGCAGGGAAGGTGGCATCAGACAGCACTTCCTTAGTCAGCATTTGAATGGTGAGCAGCCTTCGGTTACCTTTTAGGTCTTGCGGTTTCGACTCGCACCCTCGCTGACGCGGGCACGGCTTCTGAGGTCCATTGCTACCGTTACTACGGTGACATGCTGAACATGCCGAGCATGAGTTCTGCCATAGAAACAACCAGCGAGAAATAGAAGGGAATGAATGAAGGAAGTTGATAAGTAGGCAGTGACCCCCGGCATGTTGGGGTTCAGGCTTTAGGGTTATTATACCACTCATACCAGGTGGTGTTTAAGGAAACTTGACAGGCCTTGTGCCCTAGCCCTTCATCACGAAACCCCTTCAACAAGGTACCTTGTTAGGGTTTCCGGGCTTAGGGTTCGTGGTTGTCCTGTAAGCAAAACCAGCGAGGCCCCCCTTTATGCGAGTGATCTGATAAGCATCGCTTACGAAGATACCTTACCGATCTATCGAATTACGGGACCTCCATGCAGGACAATCCTACCATAAACATCAACATCCTAAGCGCGAAGACGCAATCCCGAATACCCTGAAGCGAGATACGGGGTTAGGGTGATGCCCTAACCACGGCACTTGCACCCAAATACCTTGGCACACGGAATCCAGAACCCAAAACACTTATAACCCAAAACCGGACCTAACCCACGCTTGTCTGCTTCGGATTCTGCTGTATCCCTCTCAACCAACAAGGGCTAGCGAATGACAATGCCCGGCAGAACCCAATACCTCTTAGCGGAAGAGGGCTCGTCAAATTGCAAAGGACTTCTTGGTTTGCTTGAAGCATCATTCCTCCATTATGGGGTACAGGGCTGCCTTGGTAAAACACAAATCGAAAGGGTCCTGAGTTAAGCGGTAATTGTTAATAAGCTTCCTTACTCTCAATTGCTAACATTATCCACGCTTTTCTACAATCCCCGTAAGTGTCCAACCAGTCCAGCAGACCAGTAGATCAGTGACCAGTAGAATATGCTTCGGGCAGTCAACTAGCTGATGCAGCTCAACAAGCCCTCTCCGGTTTAGGACATGCAGATTCGGAGTTGGCAGTTAAGGCTTGGACCTACCGTTCGAGCTGTTCCTCAGAACTTGAAAATCATACGACCTAAAGCTTTAAAGGCTATCCCCGATGATCAAGGCTTACTAAGCTGCCATACTAATCTTGCAGAGATTTGGGCTTCTGTAACCAACAGCGAACCACATGTCCAAGTCTGTACAACTCGAGGTCGGAATCCAAAGGTGCTGCATCCCAAAGAACACCAGCCCTCGATACAATGGCATGCAAATGTGAACTCCCAAACCTTGCACCCTCGAGCCTGAAACAAAAGCAAGCATGAAATGCCTCGTACTACTCTGTAGAAACATCATGGGTGCGAAACAGACATGAAAAGTCAGAACATCTGGAATGGACCCTCCCCCAAAGTTTAGCGTCTTCAATGAGTCGTCAACACCAGCACGAACAACACAAGCAATGCATCGTACCACATGAGACAATGCACGACTCTAAACTTTAAGCACACACACACACAACAAAATCCTAAACACAAAGCCCAAGCCCCTAACCCCTCCACCCTGAAATAACCATTAATTCTACACCCCCAAACCCTAAACCCTAAGGACCATGAACAAGGCCCAAACCCTAAACCCTAATCCCACAACCCTAAGCTCCAGCCCTAACCCCTCGACCCTGAAGTAGGAGCTTTGCCGCCCAGCGGCCGTGGCTGGCTCGGAGGGGCAAGGAACCCGGGCCTGATCCACTGGGAGATACTTCTTTTCCAAAACGCTTGAAGAGCAGGAATAGTAAGAAAACCCCGAAACCTAAACCGCTAAGCCCTAACATGGAATAGTAAGTGTAACAGTATGTAATAGTATGTAACAGTATGTGATCGTATGTACTAGAACTCAATATTGCGCAAAGGGTTCCACAGCGCTGTTAACTTCATAAAGGGCTTCTGAGGACTTTCCAAAAGGTTGTCTGTAAAGGAACTTAAGCTGGTTGAAAACGGCTATACCGCCTCTTATGTGGTGGAAGGGTGTCAGGAGCTCGTATTTGCCAAGTTGTATTTAGCTGTCAGTGTAGGGCTCTTGGGGTCTCACCAGTATGAAACATTATGAATCAGAGTTTATTATGTCGAAGTCTAAAGCAGCATTGTTCAAAAACGTTGTGTATGAAGTGGTCGGGAACGACTCCTACGATGTCTTAAGGCCTCTGCGATCTTCGTTTTGCGGAGGCATGAAGATGTCGGTCACTTGCTTGGTTTCCAAGACGGTCTGCAACTTTGTCAAGTTTAAGACTGAAAATTTGGGCATGAGCAGACGCATTGGGCAGTGAATCCTGACAACAAAACTGAAAACTCGAAGTTCAAGGGGATCCAAAACCCAGAGAGCAAAAGGACTATTCTCAGTCCGCAACTCTTGGAACCGAAGCTGGGACCGCAAACCACAAACACGCCCCCGATAGTGTTCGGCTTGAGTGCCGAGCCCTGAGCGGCGTCGGATCCGACGTCCTAAGTTCAGGGTTAGAGGAACTATAACTGATTGATCAGGCGACCCAGAACTCTTCTCTTACAACCTTTGTCAAGCTATTACTAATTGACCAACTTCAAACTGCACATGCAAGCAGGGATTCGTTGAGAGCTAGGTGGCTTAGGGTGTATAGCTTTTCGTAGATGGCGCATGCAAAGCGCATGGCTTCGAACCCACTCGGCTCCAGGGTCAAAACTAAAGCACCATGAATCCGTAAGATCATAAGCTTCGAGAGGCTTCTTTTCGACTGGACCCAAATTCCAGAAGTCCTAAAGTTAGAAACCAAATTTTATGATCAGGTAAGCAATGTGAGATCCAAAACGTCTCACAACAGCTCAGCAATGGGGCTTGTTCGCGGGGGAGCTTTACCATCTACGATGCTGCAATAAGCAAGTGTGGCCGTAATTCAAACTGTAGTTGTTGCCAGGCTAATGCTGACGATTTTTAGTTTACAAAGAAGTATGTAACATCTATCGATCATGATAAGAGTGCCCCTCTCGACTCACCTTGCCAGAGATCTCAGCAAGAGACCGCCGTGAGATTCAAGAAAGCAAACATCTACAACACAAACGCTGATAAAGACACTCGTAACTGCTTGTAAAACATCACTGCATACGGCCACCACAGAAACTGCAAAACAATCAAGTCTCAGGCTGTACACCCTAAGCCCTAAGCCCCATATGTACAGATGCTACTGTACACCTTGTCAAGACCATAAACCGAAAACATCCATTTCCCACTGCACTGTGATGCCAAAGGGCGTGAAGCTGCCAGGACTTAAATGCGGTGAGGAGAGTGGCGTCCCGAGAGTGCCTGGGCTAGCACGCGGCCCGCTCCCAAAGTTGTCCCTCAACCCCTCCCCCTTGGCATGGTGTGGTGCATCGCGGTGCAGTGTAGTGAGATTTGGGGGTTTGGGCCTGCTCGGCCCCTGAGCTGTGGTGGGATGCGGGGTTCGGGTCTGCTTGAGACCCCCATTATCAGATGATCGTAGTCATGGCCTGCCGGCCAGCATGATCAGCATCATGATGAGCGTCATCATCGTACCATCGTCATCCAATCGGGGGCAGAAGCCCGCCAAGAGACGGCAGTTGGACACAAACTCGTGGCGAGCACAAGCCGTGGGATGCCATAGGAGGGGGGACCGGGATTAGCCGTACATGTTCTCCTTGTTTGTTGTTGTTGGGGGAGTGGGGGGAGTGATTGATAGTTGTCATTACTTTTGAGAGCCTGGCAGGTGCTAAATAGTGACAGCTTCTAGCTAGGAGCCCAGGGATGAAGTTCATCGGATCCCTTCCTGGGGACAGGGTCGACACACCGCCTCCTACCTTTCCTGTTGCACGCATAGCTATGGCTGATCTAGGTTTATCTCTCCGTCAGGCGTACAATAAACTACGAAAGAGTCACTACATTGGAAACAGAATCCAAACCCACTTCAAGACCCCTAATTGCTACATCCGTGCTGCTGGTAAGGATAAAGAAGTAGCATCGCATCAAAGGTCCAATATGCAACTGGCACAGTTGGTGCTGAAGCCGAAACTCCTCGTGTCAACCCTTGCATCGCCGAGGGACCCATCATCAAAGTCAAATAGTGAAGTTACAAGCCTCGAGCTTCAAAACCTTGAGACGCCGTACGCGCAACCCCGCTTGTTACGCTTGTTTTACAGTAAAAGCCCAAAAGTTGGAAACCCCATAGCCTCAATCCTTAAGAGTAATGTATAGGGCAGTATAGGGAATCCCAGCACAATATGGCCTTAATCCGGTTTCCAACTTTATGGGGTTACTGTCTGGTTTAAAGTTTGACCAGCAGCGTCTCAGCCACGCAGACAAATAGGCGGCCTCGATGCAGACCCATGAATACTCCGATGTTATACGGACCACCCTCAGAAGCCCCTGCTTTGACTATCAAGACCCCCTCCTCATGCAAGCCGGGCGGCCAAAAGCCGGATGTTCGGCACAGTGCTCACCGGAACCAAAATCCTGCAGGGGCATCGTTCGCCCGAAGGCAAAAGTGACCAAGTAGTAAGGTCTGAGAGTCGAAAATGCTCAGGATCATTCGGAGCATAGAGTACATGGGACCTGAAGCCCTACTCTTTGAGCAATGGGGCCCACAGGATGAACAGGATGAGAAAAGATCCCTACACCGTCATGTCTAGTATTTCCTGAGTAAAGGCCTTTCAAAGCAGAAATGCTCTTGACATCTTCGCATATTCACGGCTTCAGTTAGAGAATCGTTGGGCTCTCCATTCGCAACTTCCTACCGTTGGATTGCAGGATCCAAGCTGCCATCAAGACGACACGTAGCGAAGCCCCTGCAACCTTCTCGCTCTAGGATGCAGGACAGCACCCAAAAGCCTCTAGCTGCTTTGCAGTCTGGTTTTGCAAGTTTGAAGAATGCAACCCCAAATCCAAACGTGCTGCAACCATAGAGCTGAAACCTTCAGCCCTCAGCGCAAATATCCAAAAGCCCTAAACACGAAAAGCCATAACCTTCAAGTGCTGAACCCTAGAAAGCCTAAGCCCGGATCATGAACGCTAAACCCCGAGCGCCTTTACTCTTCAGACCTTACTGTAAAACCCCTAAGTGCCTGAGGGAATGTTCCCTCGTCTGCCGACTTGAGGAAACGTTCCTTCCCTAAACCTGGCCTAATTATCCCAAAGTCGCGAACACGTGTACAAAACCTAAGATCCTGACCACCTCAACCAGCACCCGCCTTGTACCGTCAAGGGTGGTCATGGTTTCGGATTAACGGCCTTTGGTTTTATGGCTCAGCCTGGTGGCTCGCAGGTGCTATAATGGTGCTGATCGCGACAAGACCAATCCTCAGGGTTGAGGGCTTAGCGTTTACCCAGAGGCTCCAAAGTAGTTCGTTTTGGGGCTTCATATTTGGAATCCTATAAGGTAATCCCAAAAAAGAACTACTATGGAGCCTATGGGCATAAGGGTTTCAGCACTCACAACTGGGACGAGGCCTCAAGCTCGGCGACAAGCACTTTGGCTAATTACTGGCACAACACAAGCGCGTTGAGCATTCCGCTTCGACACATTCCCCACGATCCCACTGCTGCCACATGTTCCCTCATGCAGCACTGAACAGCCTCTTCCGACCACCCAGCCTTAGATAAGGCCCTCGTTGTGGAACAAAGCCCACGACGGCAGGATACAGCTCAGAATACCCGAAGCATTGCATTGTCGGGCGGCCGACGCTTGTCCAGCAAGGTAAATCAGCTGTGTGCAGAAGTGTCAGCTTATTGCCGCACGCACCCTCGAATTACATGCGTTGCAGGAAAATCGCCCGAGCTGCCTAGAACCAACCCCTGAATTGCCGAAAGGGTTTATAGGGTTTAGGGTTGAGAATTCGGGGTTGCATTTTGGCCCTAAACGCAGAAGGATATCTAGGGGTTGGAACGTGGGAGTTTGGGGTTTCATTGGGCTTTGGGGTAACCCTAGAACGAGCGTCGCCCCATACAAACCGCATAAGCCCGAGGGTGAGGACCCAGTCCTTGGTTGCAGGCGGGGGCGTCGTGGCACCGAGCGTTGCCTCAAATATCAAGGAAGGTCGGAGAACCGACCGGAACCTCCCATAACCAATTGTTTGACCGTCCAGCGACATACAACTAAGGCGCGCTTTTCGTACTAGAGCCTATGTATGGTCGTACCGGAATACACCGATACACCCCCATATCATATGTTACCACCCCTGAACTGTTTTCCTTAACTAATGTGAACAACCAGCCAAAGCCCATTTGTTCAACCTTCCCTGTGGCCGAAACTAGGCTCCTCCCAATCCTAAAATATACCTATAGTGTCCATGATTATATATTTCGGATCCTGTCAGGTAACCCGGACAACGAACTACAACGGAGGCTACGGGTAAGCCGGGAGTGTACGAAGCCGAAGCTCCGGGCTCCTGATCCGCAAACCCTGAGCCGATAGCTCCCAAACTCTAAAATCCCATTTCTCATTTCTCATCTCTAAACTCGCGATCAATTTTTCTTGAGGGCTCTTTTCCAACTGGTTGAACAGCGAGAATCAGGGCTAGGGTTTCGGGTTTTACCTTACATCTTGCAATCCCTAAACCCGTAAGCCGTTCTGGGACTGGCAATAGAAAATTGCATAGCTGATGTGCATGCCCTATACACCGCAAACCCCCAACTAAGAATAACTAACCTGTGTATATGTGTGTGTATATATATATATATAATGACTAGAGATGTATACATGTATACCTATGATGCGCACAACAGTCACATATCCTTGCCTTGTAAGAGCCGTTCTCCCGACATCTAGAATCGCGTAGCCTGGAACCACCCGGAACCGGTATATCTAATCCTTCATCGTTCCTATCTGAGAGCACGGGAAAACAGAAGCTAACACGTCGTCCTAACCCTAAGTCTGTAGAATCCTAGCGTCTGAGCAAAACCCTTATATACATATGGAACCTTTTTGGATCATTCCTGTCCAGAGACTCCAAACAACTTAGTTAAGGAACATACCTTAAACTACGGGTTCATGTCGAGTAATAGCTTTGAAAACCTCTGGGCAGTTTTTGAACTGACCTTTGGTTCGCAGGGAATGGAAGAATTTTGTCACCCACCTGGCACACCTATGGGAGCTCCGCGGGGACTAGGGAATGGAAGAATGGTAGTAGTAGTAGTAGTAGCAGTAGTAGTAATGGTTGTTGTAGCAGTAATAGTTATAGTCGTACCCCATTCCTCCATTCCCTGGTAACCAAAGGTAAGTTTTTGAACTCCAGCTCGGGGCTCGAGAAGCTCCGCCTCGAAGTCCAGGCGTGTCGCTCTCAGCTCCGGCCTGCAGCGGTGGTTCAGGCTTCAGGGGTTTATAGGGTTTAGGGGCTTAGGGTTTCGTGTAAAGGGATCTATAAGGGCTCTATAAGGGATCTATAGGGTTTAGGATTCTTGGGGTGTTTTCGTGTCGAAAAATTTTGGGGTTTGAGGGTTGTATAGGTTTTCGCTTAGGCTTTTTGGGGCCGGGGTTTAGAGGATTTCAGGGTTTGTGGGATTCAGGGCCTTGGATTCGGAGTCTGAATTTCCCCGGGGGCTGCCACCACTGGTGATGTGGGAGGTCGCACAATAGCGAAACATAATACAACATATAATTACAGCAAGCACTGTCATCATCATGATCATAATAGCAATAATGATGAGAATATTAACGCCAACAATAAGCAACATAAGAATGATAAGAATACTAAGAACAGTTCTCATACGAATCATCATCATCATCACCATCAGCATCATCATCATCATCATCAAGAGCATAGCAACAATTTTTATTGATTTTGACAGCTTTGTTGGCAAATAACCATACTCGTCATAATGTGTGGCGATGCCCGTGTCGCCGCTCAGGTCGTCGATCTTGCCAGCACATGGTGAGTCATGAGGGAAACCAACCCCTGAATTTCAACCCTACTCCCTAAACCCTACTCCTGAACCCGATACGCTGAATTGGACAGGATGAGAGTTGCAACTTTGAGAGTCCAGTGGGTTAACGGCTGAACGTTCACAAGGGTTTACCGGCAGCAAGGGGCCTGCAATTATTGTGTGCACCTTTTAGAAACTTGTATGCCAACCGTAAGTACCGTACAACGAAAGCCGCAAATTGGTGGGTCCACGAGATGCCGAATGCCCCCCAAATCCTCTACCCCACCCAGACAAAAACAAACATCTGCCCTAAAATCTGAGGAAGCCGGCAACTGCGAGAAGAGGCCTGTCGCAATTTGGCAGGCTTAGGGCTTTTCGCGTCTATATTACGGGCCTTACTACTTAGAACAGAGTTGTCAGGGACACTATCCTGTTATTCACGGAGCCCCAAAATTAGCATTGGTAAATATCCGGGCAGCGGTCGGTCTGAGCAGGCTTGCAGAGCAGATTCTGGGAAAGACTCGGGGGAACAAGGGATTTCCGGCAGACCAGGGAGGGGAAGCTTGGAGGACTTACAAAGCTAAAGCAAACACTAAACGCTTGCATCCACCCTTCCCAGAGGCCCCAAAGTAGTTCATTTTTGGGGTTCATATATAGAAGCCTATAAGGTAATCCCAGAAAGAAACTACTATGGTGCCTCTGGGTAGACATGACTCTTGGGGCCGTGGTGCCTGTTCGAGATCTATGCATAGTACAACTTATCCCGAACGCAATACCCATTCAATACTCGTTAGCGAGCAGAACCCTTGACCGTAAGCCCAACCTCCAGCACCTTTAAAGGGAGTAGGTATGCCTACGATTCTGTGAGTACATCTGGCCTTACAACCTGCGACACGAAAGTGCGAACTTGTTAGCTGCTTCTACAACCTATAAGATCCGAGGACGAACCCCAGTCGGCTTGACTTCGTGTCCAGGTAAGGATGTTGCAGTGTAAGTACGGGGTATTGAAGGAAAACCAGACTTGGTGAGCAGGCTTGCCAAGTAAGAATAGCTGGTGCAAATGTGGCACATGTTGCGGGTGTCCCCGTTATTCGTTAGGGCATCGACGCGGCGCGCAAGTTCGCACAAGGATCGGAACCACGAAAGCTTCAGTGGCAGCACTACAACACCTTGCGGCCCCACATCGTTCCATCCTCCACTCTACACCACAAGAGCTTGAGAAACTTGTCAGGCTATGGGAACCCGGCTTGAATCCTACGCAAGATGAACGGCAGTAGTAGTCCACAAACCGAGCTGAATTTAGAACAACCCTCCTCCAAGGCAGTTCCTTCTGGGTAGCACAAAAGTAATCCTCAACCCTGAGCCTAGAATGTTCAAGGCTAGAACCCCCCAAGGGCTAAAACCCAGAACACCTGAACCACAAAACAAGTAATATAGGGGCCTTAATAATTGGAATAGGGTTTTGGGGCCCATCATACTATAAGAATAACAGGAACCCCCAAAAGAGCATTGGTAATTGTTTAGGTCCCCGTAGTGGTGAATCCGCAATTCGATTCCGCAGGTGCCTTCCAACTGTGCCATGGTTGCCTGCGATGGCTGCTGATCGAGGAAGGGCATAGTACTTACCTTTGGTTAGTCGGGAATGGAAGAATGGTAGTCTGTAGTAGTAGCTATACTTGTACCCCATTCCTCCAGTCAGTCCCTACAAAGGTAAGTATAGTATAGGGGTTCGGCGCTCCGGTATTCGGAGTTTAGGGTTTAGGGCCAGTTTGGGCACGAAGCAGATGGCACCCTCATGGCTACTTGTCCCGGAGGGTTTTGAGGCAATGCTGAGTCACGGCGGGGGATTAAGGACTTGTTTGCGAGAGAAAGGGCCCCATACTTCCCAAACTCTTCCCCCTAAATACTGTGGATCACAAACTAACAGAACCCTAAAGAGCTCTAAGACTATGCAGCCTCGTACAACTCTTACGAAATGTTGAAGTTCCACCATTAATGCGGCATTCCAGCTCTCAGTGCAAGATATGCACTGCCTACTTTAACATGCCATAACAAAAGCGACACAAATACCCTTTGGAAGGCCCTATACGTCATGAGTCAGAGTTCACCCTGCAGCAGCAGACTGCGCCGGTCATGTTTGTGTGAGCAGCCCACAAGAAGTGCTCCGTTGGTCCATGATGTTGAAAGCCTGAACTATAAACCCTTAACATCCCTTAGCCCCTTTTTGCCCCAATCGCCTGAACCCTCAACCCTTTACCCCACACTCCCAGAGCCTGGCCAGATAAACCCCGTCTACCCTTGAATCCACGAAAAGGATAAGCGGGCATTGCCCCAGGCGTTATACCGTTATACTGGTTATGAAAAACGTAGCTATAGCTTGAACGGAATGCTCTTACCAGGTATGCCAGGCTTACAAATACCCCGCAGCCCTTGAACCCCTGATATGCATGATGGGACCGCTATAGTCCCTGCAGAAGAAATCTGCCAAACATCCTTGCAAAAGTACTTGGCCAGGTTCCTGAGTAGCCCCATTATAATAAGGGTGCCTTTTTTTCCTACTATTCGGTTTTAAAGTGAGGGGACCCTGAAACAAAAGGGCAAAAGGGTACTACCCAGGAACCTAGTACTTGGAGGATCATGGGACTTAGTAAGCAAGGATATAAGTACCCTAAGTGGGGATACAAGTAGTTATAAGTACTAGGACACCAGCAAATCCCAAGCCGGCCTCACGCCAAGAGTCCACAGGGCTGCCCTGCCGGCCGCTTCGTTTAGCTTTGGCAGATATGACTCTTCCGGGCTTATAGGGCTTAGGGTTTGTGCGTAGGTTCTGGGGTAACTGTTTGCAGACCGCTTCACGAACTACAGCAACTACAGTGTACGACATTGGAGGATCCCGGCAAGGCCTGACGAATTCCTTTCAAAGCCGTGCCAACTAACACTGCAAGAGCTTAGGACCCTTCATTGCAGCACTGTGGAGGTGCAAAGGCGTCCCCCATGTCTATCCTGGTCCTAACGCTCTTTGCGCTATTGCAACCCGTCCGTCCTTCCAGCTCAGGCTTAGGACATTAGGAACAGGGTGGTGCACAGGCATAGTCTCCACATGCTCACACTTGCTTTCTCACCGTCTGCATGACGTCCGCCAAAGGACTACAACCAGGTTGCCACGGCATCCGTCGAGGGACTACCTATGTCTCTTGCTTCATATAATTCATGTAGCTCTTTAAACAGAATGCTCTTCCTAGCCTGCAATTGGCCTTTTGAACAGGACGCTCGATCCTATACCCCAAACTACTACTACAGTGTCAGAAGTGTCGGCGTAGGTCACTGAGGGCGTTCCGTGGAGGATAGCAGCCGCTATTCAGGCGGCTGCAGGCGTGCCGTTAGCAGCCAACTTGTCGGAAAGCATCTTGTCCCACGACAGCCTGAGATGACCCTTTAAAGGGGCACTTGCCCTTATATTATAGGAGCAGTCTGAGGAATGCTTATAAGAACAGATATGGGAACCCCTATAGGAACGGTTGCAGGAACTGGAACCTAGCCAAGAATCTGTATGGGAACGGAACATAGGAACATATTCCGGGAGATCAAGTAATGCAAGGCCGTACAGTACGGCTCAGGGCTTTGGCCGTACTTGAAATTTAGGGCTCACAGGGCGTGGAGGTCGAGAGGGCTCAACGGTTCCGTGTTTAAGGTGGCTCCACAAAGTCTAACCGATGCCCCTCGCTGCATGCACTGACTGTGGAAGTTTTTACAGCTGATGGCATAGGGGACAAAGAACAGCTGCCACTGACAAAAACCCGAATGATTGAGATGGGTTTGGTGTCAGGAGGAAGCATCTATCATGTGATGCTATGTAGGAGCAGAAAACTCTGCACGTTCATGATGGTCAGCGGCTACGAGTCATGGGACCTCGCAAAGATAGTGTAGCCGCATTTAGCCCTGGCCCTGCTTTACAAAAATATAACTTGATCAAGGTTCTATGCTTTATAGGATGATGCAGATTAAGATTCACTTTCGGGCTGCAGAAAAGGTTCGGGCTTTGGGTTATGCAAGTCTAGGGGGTCTATCAGGCCGTTCCCCATAAGAAAATTGAAAAGGAGAAGGAAGGTTTTTGGTTACGAAAGGTGCAGAGCCCAGGTCTTTCGGTAGTGGGGGTGCATTGGGCACAACGAGGCAAGGGTTTTAGGGCTTTATGGGCTTGCAGGTTTAGAGTTTAGAGCACAGTGGCATCTGGTCGTTCAGCTGCGTCATGGTGTGGTGATACTCCTGTGCACCAACAACACGGCAGCAGCCACACTAGGGCCCAGCGCCAAGTCCTAGGCCTACATCTGTCGCCTCACAAACCCTGCGTACCATGCAGCCATACACCCTCCCTTACATCCCTGCACCCCTATACACTCCTACACGCTACCCCCCCTGCACCGCTACAGCCGCCACATGCGAATCTTTTCCTAACAGCCTGGCAAACAAAAACACCGCCAAGAGACAATCAATCCCCTCGTCGTCCTCGGCCAGCTTGCTTACCTGATCGTAGAGCTGCATGGCACTACCGACGGCCACCTGGTGTCAGGTGTCAGGGTTTACGGTTCAAGGTCGGGGAAGGAGTCTTACAACTGGCTACAAGAAACCTTCGTTATATATAGGATCCCAAATAAGGACCCGTGACATGATGTTGATAGTACTACTGAAGAAAAATGGGGCTTTCGGAGTTTGTCGGTGTTCACGAAGATGCAAAGCTCAGGTAAAGGATTATGAGCTCCTTACGCTGTGTGTGATTGAGGCTTTAGGGTTTCAAGGTGAAGAATTTAAGCTCCTTTCCCAAGCAAGTGCCATTCAATAAATACCTTTGTCTCGGACCTTTGGGTTTAAGGAGCACTGTAGAAGATTCCATTTCAGGCACCGTATTGCATATGCCTCTTGTTGGACGGATCCCTGAGAAAGCCATAACGATCGAAAGCAGTGCCCGATTTTAGACCTTGACTTGACGGTTACGGATGGGCAGCGTATGGAAAACAAGCGTCTTGAAAGCTGTACATTGTACATGTATCTAGTTGCCGTAGTTCCCGACATGCAAAGTCATAGGAATCAGATCCTGGCGTAGTCCAAATGCCAATGAGAGCCTATCCCTCCCCCGAAAAGTCTGGGTGTTAAGCAGCATGTTGCTTGTTTACATGTTTAACATCAATCAGGGCCGCAATCGCTTGGGGAACCGTCTTGCATGCTCGCGGGACTTGAAAAGCTGAGCTTTGCGCTATGGGAAACTATGTATAGTCATACGTACTTTTGAATGTAGTTGCTAAGTCCCCTGTTCCTTTAAGCCGGAGCTTGTTGGGGGGGATCTTGGATGTTGATGTAAAGGTCTGACGAGTTTTCGGATCCTGATTGCAACACTGAGACCACAAAACATAAGCCCCGATCCTAAACGGCGTTAAATACTAGACACCTGAAGCTCTAATTTCTGTGGCCTGAAAACCTTGAAACCTCACTAACCTGAGTGCTTTCATCACAAACTTGCACACTAGAAAAAGCCCTTCGTCCACTTGATTCGTCCACTGCCGGGCGAGCTGCGGCGCTTGTTGCTTCTGCACGGCGAAGGCGGCCACCATGGCCTTGCTTCAGCTGGGTCTTCATAAACCAATTTCATTAATCTCATGAAAACTATTGTTATCATCATTAGTGTTATATTGTGATTATTATTACCAGTGTATAAATGTATTTTCAATGTAATATGTTCTTATTAATGCCAATGTAATACGGCTTCCTAACAACCGTCAACCCTAAAGCGGGAGGTTGTTTGTGGTTAGTTTCGTCTAATACGTACTCGCGATTCACTTTTCCATGGCTGCTGTGACGTTACAGACTATCTTACAGCTCATGTCGTTCTTATGGTTACTCAGTTTCTCTCAGCTTTATGGCTCTATTATATGTTGTTTACTTTAGTTGCTCCTCGCTCTCCCTCTTCCTCTATCTATCTCTCTCTCTCTCTCTCTCTCTCTCTCTCGCTCTCGGACCAAGCGGATGAGGTTCCTGGCTCGTTAGTTGGGCTTCGGGCAGGGGTCAGTTTTAGGTCGGCCCCGCGGGTTGAAGGATCCAGGAGCTTCGGGTTTCGGCGCTAACTAGCACCGGACTACCCAGGCGATGGGTTATACTGATACTGTTTAGGGTTTAGGGTTTAGGGTTTTAGGGTTTAGGGTTTTTAGGGTTTAGGGTTTAGGGTTTAGGGTTTAGGTTATACCCAAAGGCCCCAAAGTAGTTCCTTTTGGGGGTTCATATATAGAATCCTATAGGGTAACTCCAAAAAGGAACTACTTTGGGGCCCCTGGGTATACTATGGGTTATACCTATAGTCTCCATTGTACTTCCTTTTTTTTGGTTATCCAACTTTATGGTTAGGACCCTATAATAGAGATTCTGGTTAACAAAAAGGAACTACAATGGAGACTATAGGTACTGTCTGGTTCTTAGTTCGATTGGGGATGGGGGAAGGGATCCCTACAGTAGCCCCTATATAATCCCCAATAACAGTCTCCGTTGCTCCACTCCCAGAAAAGAACCAGACTGTGCAGGTTACGAGCTGAAGGGCTGTACTACCGGTCCACGTACCTACCTAGTTTCATTGGACCAGGGCCTCAAGCTACGAAGGAACCCCAAACCCTAAACCCTTAACCATAAGCCCTAAACCCCTCTCTCTTGATGCGACCGTATATAACCAGTATACGCGCTAAGTAAATATTCGCAGTACACACCCTCAAATTGTCGTGGCAAGGCCAAAGGATCGACCACCAAAGCCTGCATGTCATATAGTTTATAATCCAAGTCCGGAGCCCTCACGTCGCGATCCCTCAATCCGAAACTCTAGAAGCCCAAATCCTGAAACCGAATCGCGTGAAGCCCAAAAAACAATCAAGCACAGATCCTGACCCCCTCAACGTCCGAATCTAAAAGACCCAGCTCCCCGAAACACAAGTATCATGGGCCCCAAAACCGCATTTCTAATTATTAAGGCCCTATATAGCAGTCCGGTTGACCCGGAAGCTCGCGCAAGGAGGGCGTGTTGACCTTAACTTTCCCAAGGGCTGGGGGATCTCCCCGGTGAACTGTTTAGGTGTTTGAGCAGGTTCTGCAGTCTAGAGGGTTAGGATGGGTTTAGAGTCGGAGATGTTCTGAGGCTGCGATTTTCAAGTTTTGCAACACGGTGACAGTGCAGATTACTGACATGTGGCCATGGCCGTGGGTTAGGGACTGATGGCTCCAGTTTTGTCGTGCGTTTTTGTAGGCCTGGCAGCTTCGTTGTTGTCCAAGTTGCTTCTTCAAGAGTTGGGACCGAGCACAGGCGAAAGACAATCAATACGGTAAGTACCTACATATAGACATAAATATAAGATACATATGTACACATACAGACATACATACAGACATACGGACCTACAAACATGCAAACATACAGGCATCCATGCAGACATACGGACTACATACATACATACATACATAAACTCATTACATTACACGACATACCATACATACATACAGACATACATACACTCATTACATTACACGACATACCATACATACATACATACATACATACATACATACATACATACATACATACAGACATACAGACATACATACATACATACTACATACTACATTACACCATGTAGTATACTATATTTTAGATGACTTCATATGACAACATGAATCACAAGCCGCATTACAAACCCTTTTGCCTCGAGCTTGCCGCGTGGCTCG